TATTGTGTGGTCCTGACCGCCGCCATATAGCTGGAATGCTCCTAAATGCGGCGTTTAACAACAAACAAATATTTCTTTTGTATTTGACAACTCCGTGACTCCACCATGCCAGCAGAAACACCTACCCAGTTCGTTGTAGCTCCATATGAACTCAAACACCTCGTAGTATGACAGGTTCCCTCTAGAATGTTTCAAAATGGCTTCAAAATTAAGACTTTCATACAGGTGAGTGAGTGAGTTAGTGAGTTGGGTTTTACGCCGGTTTTAGCAATTGTCCAGCAATATAACGGCGGGGCATTCCAGAAATCGGCTTCACACATTGTGCCCAAATGGGGAATCGAACCCGGGTCTTCGACGTGACGAGCGAACGCTTTAACCACTAAGCTACCCCACCGCCCCTTGGCAGGAAGCTGATAGTGTTATTCAGAAACTGAAGATTATATATACATAACAAGATAACATCGCCCTTGATAACACACTTATACTGGTTATGAATGCAATACAAAAATTTCGAAATACTTCCTGTTTTTCTAATTTCAACCTACTTCAGAAAGTGTTTGGCAGACATGTTTATCATTTCTATAACAGGCATAAAGTTCAAAGCTGCCCCATAAAAAACTTGTATTGAAAGACAAATTCTAATGTCATAATAACTCCAGGAATAATAGATCTGCATTGTTATTTTTCACAATATCGCCTGCGCTGAATTTTTATTATCTGTGACCAAACTGTAATAATAATAATAATAATAATTGATTTATATTACGCCTAGTATCCATCAATAGATGCTCACTGGCACTTTGACAAAATTAGAAAAAATCAAAGAACAAATGTACAGACAAAATCCTAAGAGTCTAGTGAGAGGCAATGCAACCTAGTCTTGAGTAGACACTTTAAATCCTCCTCGGATATAGTAACGTTATTTATTTATGGTGTTTCTGTTGTGTAACAATCTACCTCTACAGCACCAGTTTGGTCATGTAGGGATGTATCAATTGCGAGAGAACTCATCCTCCACCTCGACATGGTCCTCGACTTGGTCCTCGACATGGTCCTCTCTCTCACCATCACCAGCGTCATCTCCCTCCTCATCGTTGATGTTTTCGGCAGGCTCATCACTGGGAAGGGGCCCGCGTCTTATCAACAACACCCATGCAATGCTGGCTCCAACTCCGCCAACGATCAGAGACACTCCACCGAAATACATGGCTCCAATTAATGACGATGTATCCTCAAGGATTACTCCTAAAATGACAATGGTAGATGCTGTTGTAAGGATAAAACATTTCTGAGACAGTTACTATAAGGAATCTCCATGGTTACAACTAAAATCCGATGGGAGCACAGATAAATATCTATAGTCGATATCAATCAACTATGGAACGTATTAATTTTGTACATGAAACTAAATACGGAAAACATATGGATTACTGACTATTATGTATATCAGCTTGAAATAATAATCTGTGATAATAACTTAATATAGATAATAAGAAACTCAAAGAAAACTCATCGAGGGTACATCAGCCCAAGGTCCCGAGGGACCAGTGAACAACATGCATTCATGTTCATCTTGTCAGTTTGACAAGGATTCCTGCTTTACAGGTCTACTGACCCCCAAAGACTGGGATAGAATTGACATTCAGCAACCTATGAGTATCCTAAGAGGCGACTTAGATGTGGTTGATGCTTGGATTGATGCTCAGGATGTCAGTGACTGGGTGGTCAGGTCTAGCCTCGATTTTTTACAGACCGACATCATATGGCTGGAGACCCGTGAAGATTCGTGTTAGAATTGGTCTTCAGTGACTCATGCTCGTCGCAAGAGGCGACTAACGGGATCGGGTGGTCAAACTCGCTGACTTGGTTAACATCTATCATCATATCCTAATTGCGTAGATCGATGTTCATGCTGTTGATCCCTGGATTGTCTGGTCCAGACTCAAATATTCACAGACAAACGCCACATAGCTGGAATATTGCTGAGTGCGGCGTTAAATTAAAACACAAACTTCCATCAAACTATAGAAACAGAGGACACTACCCACCAATAATGACACCGCCAACTAATCCCGTCAGCTGAAAGAAGCTCAAGAGTGGGAGGGCCAGTTTCAGGCTGCTTCTTTCAGTAGTGCTGATCAACGCTATTGGCAACAATACTTGGGAGAGCACTGGAACAAGAATTCAAGTCTTTAAGAATTCAGTTGTCTCTTTCGGACAAAACAGATAACTGCATACCATTGCCAGCACAGATCTGGAACTTCAGTGTGAGTGTGTGAATATGTGCGTGCGTGCGTGCGTGCGTGGGTGGGTGGATGGGTGTGTCTGTGTGTTGTTTAACGCCGCACTCAGCAATTTTCCAGCTGTATGGCGGCGGTCTGAAAATAATAGGGTCTGGACCAGACAATCCGGTGATTAACATCATGATCATCTGCTCATTGTGGAAGGAAAGGAAGAAGGGATGCAGGTCTTCGAAGTTTATCATCCAGGTGAATTCTCACCCCGAGGGTATAGAGTTGACAAACCTAGAACTAGTGAGTTGACGCATCCAGCCTTTTCGCAACTTCTCAAAACGAATTACGGCGACGTACACCACATTTTAGTGTAATATTATTATTTTTCATGTTTTATTTAAAGGATTGACCGTAAATGGGCCAGAGAATTTAATTGATTTTCAAAAGTCTGAGGCATAATATATATTGCAAGCACCCTCCCTCTCTAAGATGATTAAATAGTCAGTCTCCAGAACTATGGAGTACTGCGGAGTGCGTAGAGTAGATTCATTAGTTTACTCACCAAAGGCAAATCCAATCCCGACAACCAAAGAAACAGAATGAGTCGCCTTGTGGGCAATTAAAACGACGCCAACACCTACGGCCGATAGCCCCATGGATAAAAGAGCTGACCTTTTCAGACAAACTGTCAGGAAGTTTCGGATGACCAACAGAACAACCAGCACGATCATCTCGATAACGAAGATCGTCCACGTTTTATAAGGCGGTAAGATGACGACTGGTGTCAAAATGCTTGCCATCCCTGTCAGACATAAATGCATCCATGAGTCTTACAATCTGGCATAGAACCACACATATATTTACCCCACAACTGTAAAAAGTAAGACCAACACAAGTATTGGCCAATACGACGTTGAAATTGATTGCTTCTGAGCCTATTGTACGATTCCGGTTATATCATAATCATGTGTTTATGAGTGAGTGAGTATGTTTTTACGCCGCTTTAGACATATCACGGCAGGGGACACCAGAACGGGTTCACAAACTGAACGCCAGTGATGAGAGAACGATTTAACCACGAGGCTACCCCACCCGTTTGTAAGATTGAGGTAATACTATTTTCGCAAATGATTAGAAAGTCATACCAAACATCTTCTTTAAAAAGAATACAAATAATATTTTTTTGTGTGAATCATAGTTTTTTTCCATTATCACATTTGCAAAGGGACATGTCAAGATCAGGCATTTCGTGAAGGTTTAAAAATGTGATTTCAAACCATTAGCAGATAAGAGACATCGTCCTTCACATCGATTCAAGGTTCCTCCCACCGCTGGGTCATCACAGCACATTGATTCAAGTTTTGCATCTTCTTCAATTAACAACCTCCAAAATACCTACCCATAGAACAGACAACTGTTATCGATACGAGGACATAAAACGGTGGATGTTTGAAGAGCTTGGTCACATTCTGCACATGGGTCTGTGAGTTCTTTTTGTAGAAACAAAGCAGCCACAAGTCCTAATATAGCAGGTATCTCAAGCCATTTTGTGAAGTGAATGAAGTTGAATAGGTAACCAAACCTCCCGATGGCGAAGCTTAAGTAGCTGATGATAATTGCGAGAGTTGGGCGAGTGTTGAGATAGTCCACTGTAGCCACGACTCCAGTAGAACGAAGAAGACCGACAGAAAAACCTAGCAATGAAGTCGATTTATCAAGGTAAAGCAATAGTATACAGAAGCTTCATATCAATATATAACCCTTATTACGAACTGATTTTGTAGGAGGAGGCTGGTAGGAATGGAAGTGGATGGATGCATGTTGAGTACAACTTCTTTTAGTGGCATTTAGAAGCTGTATGATGAAGAGGTTGGTTGGTTTGTTGTTTAACGCCGCACTCAGCAATATTCCTGCTATATGGCGACGGTATGTATATAATCGAGTCTGAACCAGACAATCCAGTGATCATCAGCATGAGCATCGTTCTACGCAATTAGGATAAAATGACATGTGGCAACCAAAGTCAGCGACCTTGACCATTCGATCCCGTTAGTCGCCTCTTACGACAAGCAGGGGTTACTGAAGATCCGGATCTTCACTGGTAGTATGATGAAAAGGAACGATCTTAGGGATAGAAAACTTCATATTAAGTGAGCGAGTCATACAACTATCCTTTTTACATACACAATACAAATGTATACTAAGCTGCGTCATCATTTCCAAATACTACTCCTTTGACAACACTCATATTCATTAGATTCAGTAGACCTTCAATTACGCCCACAATAGATAGAAAATTTCACTTGAAAATCGATTAAAACAGACCTTTCCAGATGATGAGTGGGATGAATGTCTTAATGTCATCTCTGGTTGTCAATGACGATGAGATACAGGAAAAGATGAGTAGAACACTTCCGCCGAGAGCGACCTTCCGGAAGCCGTATCTGATCATAAGTGGCGCACAGGAGGCAGCTGAAATACACAACATACTAGAGACAGGTTCCTCCGCGTGACTGAATGCGAAATATGAAATATTTAGTTTCTATCTGGAAACACTTGTTTCCTTGACAATTACTGGCACAACAGACAGAAATGACGTTGATGGCCATGGTGCATTAAGCTTAGATGGATCATTCCAGTTCTGGCTACAGTGTTTAAAGCGGTGGCTCGCTATCCCATGTCTATTTCGCTCGCTGATCTATTGATGAATAATAATTATTGAAAAAGAAGCACAAACTATAATCACATATCTCCAACGAATTATACCTGCCAGCGCGTTAACCACTATGAATACCATCCATCCAACTATACTGGTGAGCTGCAGTGGAAAGGTCGTAAAGAAGAGTCCAGCTATGAAGTTCACTATTACACCAGCAAATATGGGTACGAGAAAAACAATACCCCTCTTACACTTCCTTTCCGAAAACTGAAACAAGAAAAAAACAGTTTATATTTTTACGATGTCAGCGAGGTCATCAGGACGCTAGGATTCAGTTGCATTTCAATTTTATAACTGAAATTGGTATCATGAAAATATACATAATATTTGGGTCATGAGTTATGTTAATTTTGGTTAAGGAAGTGAACTTTAGAATGAAACAGCTTTTACGACAGTTCAAAGAGAACCCGTTAGCATTGCAGCCCAAAATAGCGATTGTGGCCATTGGTCATGATCACAAGCAGTGGTTGTTTAAAAACAATGTGAAGTTCATTGCGTAGTAGTTTCAAATCTAATATTGTTATAAAACAAAACTGCTCCTCAATATTTTGATTTTGGACCGAGAAACGCAAATACCATTCTTACAAAACTACGTTACATGGGTAGCCAATTGAATTATGATCTATTCCGTGTTGGTATAAAAGATAACCCAAGATGTTCTTGTGGAAATGTTTGTGAAAATTCTTATCATTACCTATTTGAGTGTCAATTATACACTGGAGAGAGAACATGATGTTTAATATACGCAGTGTTACCAATATGAATATAAATTATGAGTGACTATTATATGGCAATGCAGATATGACTTCGCATAAATCAAAACGTATTTACAATTGTTCAAACATATATTTGTCAATCAAAAAGATTCTTTTAATTATTGCAGTTGTTCCATTGTTTCCCATCTTTCTGTTCTTTTTTGTCCACCTTGTATAAAGAATGTAAATAGTATTTATGTAAATACTACGGAAAGGGTGTTCTAAGTTGTACAACTTGTACCCAGTCATTTTCTCATTAATAAAATATGTTTTAAAACAAAAACAAAAGAACTACCGGTAAAGTTTTTCATATTTTGGTATTCATAAGTTTGCTATGTATCAAGAGTAATGTCGAGACCTATTGACCTAAAAACAGAACTTCAACTCTTACCGTACGTGGATCGTTTATTGGTTCAATGTAATCATAACCAGGATTGGTTTCAGCAATGCATTCATAATCATTTTCGGCTTCCGGTTGGTTTTCTTCCATCGCCTGTTGATAGGCGGAGTCGGGGATGTCGTCAATGTAGTCGTACTCAACAGACGTTGGATTGTTGTGATCAGTGACATGACTACCAGTATTAGCCATGATTTCCACGTTCACGGTGGGCTTGTTTTCTTGCAGGGTCTTTCAAAATTAATTGAAAAAACTGTGTGTTAGTGCTTAGCGTGTAATCTCTTTGAAATGCGATTTTGCATCCAAGCCGAAATTACGACGATTCAAACACTAGAATTTCTTTTGGAGACAATTATTATTCACGCGTGAAAACAGTTGTTTGTTTATATCGTGTTGGTTACAGCTCACCACGATTTATGAAGATGCTTAAAACTGAACCCTATCCATGTGCACTTATAAGGGTTAATCGAAAAGTATGTGGCCTCATGGATATTGCTTTTGTTTTCTACATTTGCGTTTTAGAATTCAACCAGAGAATTTGACACATGTGAGAGAGAAACTGCAGAAAAAAATGGAAAACGGTAGACGATTAGGTGATTAGGTTTGGCATAAACAGGGCATGTCGCCAAAGGCAATGCTAGAAGATATGTATAATAGTGCATGTCACCCAATAACTGAAACCTTGATATAAGTAACCCGAGTGCCCTGTTAGCAGATTTGGCCGCTGTATCTGTCATTGCCTTAAAATCTAACTTTTCCGTTAAAAGGAGCCCAAGGCAGGTATTACCACTGACAACTTCTACAATTTTATACAATGGTGTGCATTTTACCAATCCTCTTTCATGGGCAGTACACACATCACAGGCATCTATACAAGCAAAGAAAATAGGTATAACACAATATATACATATTTTAGGCGACTTTTTTCAAAACATTTGATGCCAAAATATATCCAATTTTGCTATACGGTGCAGAAGGAAGGGTTTTAAAACTTATGATGTTATAGAAACAGTCCATTTGTATGCATGCAGGAAACTTCTGGGCGTGAAAACAGCCACCTCTACTTGTAAAGTTTACCGAGAATGTGGATGATATCCATTGTACGTAGAATCAAATGTAAAACTTATTAGATACTGGTTAAAATTATTAACAATGCCCTCACACAGATTGCCAAGAAAATGTTATGATATGATGATACTATATGACAGCCATGGAAAACGGTAACATATATAAAACACTTGCTATTATCTATCGGCTTCCGCGATGCCTGGCATGAACAAATTGTAGAATCTCATTCTCATTTTGTCTGTTTAGTTAAACAAAGACTTGAAGATATATTCCTTTAAAATTGGTCAACTAGTCTCTTATTATCAAATAAATGATTTTACTACAAAATGATAAAAGATTCCATATATACAGAACAGTATCTTTCAGTTTTGACCATAAGGAAATGTAAATCTTCACTGGCGAGATTCCGCTGCTCTGCACATGATTTAAAGGTTGAAACTGGGAGATACCAAGGAATTAAGAAAGAAAATAGAATCTGTCAAATGTGCAACTTAAACGAGATCGAAGATGAATTTCACTTTACGTGTTTGCCCAGCATATTTATCGTTAAGAAATAGATATATAAATAAATATTATTATGTTCATCCTGAAACTCATAAGTTTATATCATTGATGAATAATTCGAGTAAAACACATTTAGAAAGATTGTCCATAGATATTCACAAAGCTTTTATTCTCAGAAAGAATGTTCTACTACCTACGCATGACTAATTAATGTACTACAGGTCTGTGGCCTTTCAGTATGAAAAAATAAAGATTGAAGTTGATAAATAAGTTAAAAAGCACGGGGGAGAGTAAGCAACCTTGTTTCAATCCTCGATTCACCCCCAAACCAAGGCGTTAGATACCCATGTAGTCTCACACAGCACTGAACGTCCTTGCACAATGGTTGTAAGGCACTTAACATATTTCCACCTACACCGACAGCTGCAACCTTGTCCCAGAGAACATCTCTATTGATACAGTCATATGCTTTTTTGAAGTCAATGAACGCCACAAACGTTGGCTTTTTGCTGGCTTTACGAGTTTAAATAACAAACGTGAGTGTTTGTACATGGTTTAGTTGATCGTTTCTTGCGGAACCATTCGGAGAATCACTGAGTATATTTTTTGATGCTGTACATAGCTGCAGCCTGTTATTCAGTACACCACAGTAGAGCTAATATACTGTAAGCCATTAAAAATGCAATTTGACATTCATACTTTCTTTACTCACACTAATTTCAACATATATAAACCATACTGGCAGATATGTTTTAAGTGAACATCTGTGAATAATTTCATCTGAAAATGTCCGACGCAACAACGACATCACACAAAGGAGGGGTCACTTGCAGTCAATATCGTGTTTGTCCTCCGTGCGTTTCAAGACATGCTCGCAGTCTTTGGGGTATTGAAAGACACACATTTCTCAGGAACAGCTGTTGGATGGTCCGCAGCCTCTGATGGTCTGTGGTCTGATCATGACACCACCCCTTCCAAAACGATCATGTTCAAGGACACAGTTTGGCGCAAGTCTTTCTCCTTAACGTCGATAAATCTGTTGACGTCCATCTGCAAAGGATAAGTTTAACCTGGATTCATCTGAAAAAATGACATCTTGCCATGTCCTGTTGCCCAGATTGGCCCCATTTGCTGCCAATCGCTGTCTGGCAAGTCTGTGGCGATGCAATAAGGTTGGACCACGGTACGGGTGACAACACCGGATGTTGAAGGCAGCAAGGCGTCCTTGCACCTTTTGGGCGCTGAAATGACGTTGACTTGTCCCAATTGTCCTGCTTGCCTAATCATCAGCTGTTTGGAACCGATTTCGCAAGTGTGAAACTCGGATATTGCGGTTTTGTCGAGCTGTTATCACAGGTGGTGCACCAGGTCGCGGACGATCAGCAACACTTCCGGTAGCCCGAAAACGTTGTCTGAGTCGACTTACAGTTGATGGATGCATAATTAAAGTGCCTGGCAATCATCACATTTGAAGCACCTTGGCTGGCCATACCGATAACCTGATTCCTTTCGTCTTGTGTCAAGTGTGGCATTTTCTCAAAGTGATTGAGTTCCACAATTCCTTGTGCTTTTACAGGGCCTGGGTGCAGGTAATGCATGTGGACAACGTGTTTCATGAATGTGGTTGTGTTTACGAGAAATGTCAAAGGTTCAATTTTAAGTATCAAAGTTCATGTGCGAGGAATGCTCCAGAACTCGAACTCGAAATGGGCCAGAATAACAGCCTTTTATCCCTACATCCTCTGTATCGCAGGACAAAATATTCAATAGAACTTTTGTAAGTTTCAGGACAACAAATACCAATTGCGTTTTTAATGGCTTACAGTATATATTGAAGTTGTGAGAGTAACCACTCTGTATGATAATGGATCCTTAGGGTCCATTGTGGTTCTTCGGTATCGGGTTGATGATTCCCTTAGACCAGATATTTGGTACTTTTCCACAAGTAAAACAAACAAATAAAACCTTATGTAGTGCAGTAGCGATATTCTCAGATTTTAACACTTCCATAGGGATATTGTCATAGCCTGGCGCTTTGCCCTTGTTAGCGTTATAGATAGTAGTTCTCACCTCAAGCATACCGATTATGTCATTAAACAACACATGGTTACCTCCATCTATCAGTATAATGTCCTTCACAGGTGTCACCATTGAAAAGTACACTATAGTCGTGTTTCCATTTCTCCAGCACGTCATCAATGACGTCACACACCGACATAGTTACGCACATAGTTCGTAATTTAAAACATCCTTTACAAATGATCTTTTAGCCTTCTGAACTCTTTTATCAAAATACTTCAGTTTCAGCTTACAGTCATGTTTGAATGACTGTCTGCTTGCTCCGGTTCTACACTTACATCATGTTCTCTCCGCTTCACATAAGTCATTCCACATTTTTGTAAGACAATCGCTTGTTTGGTAAATGAGAGTTGAGTAAGTAAGTTTTGCTCACAAGCTTTTCGTTTATTTCATGCTTTATCAAACCAATCAAATGGTCTGAGGCTGTGTTAAGGTCCAGGTGGGATTGCTCGGTATTCTGCAGGCGTTCAGTCACATCACTCAGCTCAGCTTGGCACTGTGTTGAACTCATGAAATCACCGGGAATATATGATGTAAAGTAAACTGACGTACAAAAGAAAGTACACACCTGATGCTGTGGTAAAATGTTTTCTTGAAAACAGCGTAATATTTAGAAAAGTGTTTTGATTGCGACTCACATGTCACAAACATTGTGTTCGTGTTGCAATAATACCATAGATATCGGAAGCTGGAGAGCCAGCCTTCCACATGGTTGGTTAGGAGATGCCCTCCCATAATCCCCCATTGTCTTCCAATTTGCATTCTTCATTGCTTTGCCTACCTAAAACAAAAGGTGCCGGCATTCCGGGAAGACGCCATCGTACCCAGTTGGATTATTGATAGCAAAATATTTACGTTGTTTTAATGGTCTCAAAACACCAGGTGTGTACTTTCTTTTGTACATCAGTATATTTCGTAATTTTAACAGTGTCAACTCCTACAGACTGTACATGTGTGTCTACAACATCAATATCACAGATCCACTGTAACAAGGAGTGGTCAAACTCGGTGACCAAATGCCCATCCACACTGCATTAGAGCGTTGTACTTCAAAGTTACTCATTTTTGGCAGTGATTCATGGGGGACAATACAATAATCCACCACAAATAGACCCTTTGATGATACACATGTAAAATCGTTTTGTATACAATTTCCTCCTTTAAGGATACAGTAATCTGCATCAATTAAAACTCAAGAAAAACGGAATTACAGTTAAAGTCTATCATACTTCTGCCTGGTAGTTTATCAACACCATCAAAGTAATCATCCAGCTCACCATACCGACTATTGTAATCGCCACATATATATACAGTATTTCACCACTAGTTTGATAATCTAAAATCTGAGACAGCAATACATTGATAAAGTCAGAAGCGTTTACGTTTCTTGCCGTGTGTTCAGGGTGTAGATGGCACACACAGGCATACAAGTTGGACTTGTCCCGTCTGTTACGCAGCTGATTCCACAGTATACCTTCATGCGTATTATCTAACACATTTGTATCAAAATAGTTTAACAGACAGCGCTTAACATAAAACACACACGCACACACACACGCACACGCACGCGCACATGCACA